CGCACGGGAGCATGCCTGAACTGGTAGCGAAGGTAAGTAGATTTCACCTCTGGGTTGGATGACCCAAAATTAGCATCTGCCATCTCGTTTCTCTCCATCCCACACTTCTGGCTACAGTGGGATTTGATCGTTAGATCTTGGATCTAATGATTTAACGGGGTGGGGGCTCTTTAGGAGACTACACATGTATATTTCTTCATATGGGAATTCAACTCTGCTTCATTTGGTAGCTGAACTCCAAACATCTGCCTCAAAGTTCAGCTGTGGTAGCTTTCTCCTTCTCCTTCTTCGTCTCGTCCTCCTTCTCCTCCTCCTCCTCTTCTTCGTTTCTTCTCCTTCTTCTTCTCCTTCACCTCTTCTTCTTCTCCTTTTCTTCTTCTCTGTCTCCTCCTCCTCCTTCTCATCCTCCTCCTCCTCCTTTCTTCTCCTTCTTCATTTCCTTTTCCTTCTCTTTTGTCTCCTCCTCCTCCTCCTCCTCCTTCTTCTTCTTCTCCTTCTTCTCTTCTTTTTCTCCTCCTCCTCTTCCTCCTCCCACCTATGGCAGGGTTTGCTTTTCTGTAATGTTTCTGATTGCAGGAAATTAGACAAAAGCTTCCCTGAACTTGTTCAGAAAAGTTATGGAAGTTCTTTTGAAATCATTTGTCATCCTCTAATGTCAAAAGACTCATTTTCCCTCTAGACGTGCATCTGTGGCTCGTCTGCGAGAAGTGGAGAATGACAGATGATCTCAAATCCTCATCCATCTTGACCTGGTGTGTTCGAGTACCTTATGATGCTTGAGTTCCCTTGCCCATAATCACATCCATCTCTGTCCTGTCTTCAATTTGTTCCTTTTTTACTGGATGTCAGGCATCTTCAGATTAAAAGTATTTAATCACATTTTACCGCTGTGGCTAGTTCAAGGAAAAATGAGGCATCAAAGAAAGCTGTCCAAGGGCAGGGATGTGGAAGTATGGTTTTCCATGTTCCTCCTCAACCAAAAAACACCTGTTAAACACGTGATACGTTTGTTTAGATTTCACTTTATCAGAAGCAATCCTAATGCAGCTTTGAAGTTACAAGCACAATCAATCTATAAAGGGGGGGGAAATCCCCAACACTTATACCGTGTTTCCCCGAAAATAAGACCCTGTCTTATATTTTTTTGAACCCTGAAATAAGCGCTTGGCCTTATTGCCATGCGCTCAAAAGCCCGATTGGGCTTATTATCAGGGGATGTCTTATTTTGGGGGAAACAGAGTAGTTATAGGGGTGGGTGGGGAAATCATCAGAGTCCTCTATTGCACAAATTTCTGAACATATGACACTTTTTTCAGCATCCTCTCAAAACAAGAAGAGGTTGATTTGATTAACCCTGCAAGGGGAATAATTCAGGGGTGAAATGCTCCCGGTTCGGACTGGATCGCCCAATCCGGTAGCGATGATGGCGGGTGGTTCGGAGAACCGGTAGCAAAAATCCCTGTCCGCCCGCCATGCCCAGCTGAGCCGCACGATCATCAGAGGCTTTTTTAAAAAAAACTTTTAAAAGCATTTTTTCTTCGGCCAAAAAAAGGCTTTTAAAGGTTAAAAAAAAAAAAGGCTCTGATGATTACGCGGCTCCGCTGGGATCGTCAGAGCCTTTTAAAAGTATTTTTTCTACAACCTCTTTGGCCAAAGAGGTTAGGAGAACCGGCAAATGCCACCTCTTGCTGGCCCCAGAGTGGGGTGGGAATGGAGATTTTCCAATATCCTTCCCCCAGGAGTGGGGAGGGAATGGAGATTTTGCAGTGTCCTTCCCCTGGAGTGGGGTGGGAAAGGAGAATTTGTAGTATCTTTCCCCTGGAGTGGGGAGGGAATGGAGATTTTGCAATATCCTTCCCCTGGAGTGGGGTGGGAATGGAGATTTTGCAGTATCCTTCTTCTGCCACACCCATCAAGCCACACCACTCCACGCCTACCAAGCCATGCCCATAGAACCAGTAGTAAAAAAATTGAATTTCACCACTGGTCCCAGCTCTGACCCTGTTTCTCTCCTCACCCTAAGGTGTGTCATCAGTCACATTGAAACAACGAGGGTTGGAGAGATCACTCCCCTCTGGTCTCTGTAGGTTTCCGTGGAGATGACCTCTGCTTATCAGTTGGAATGTGTTTTGTTTTGACTGAGATACCAGCTCCTTGATGCAGCTGCAAAGTTCGTTTTCCCAATCGCCCTTGCCTATGGCAACTCAAGAGCAGGCCAGGGATGCTTTGCGAATTGACAATGTAATTTATGCGAAGAATGAATAAAAACTTCCTTTTGTTTGCCTTTAACCCTTCATCATGTTCCCCTTCACTAGAATAGTTTCCTGAGAGAAAGAGCTGGATAGACTAATTAGAAATCTCCCAACACAACTTTTCCTATTGTGTTTCCACAACCTGCTTAACTAGGCCAGTGAAAGGCTAGCAGATTAACCTCCATGCTTGCACAGTTTGATTAGTGTTAGTGTGGGGCAAGCTTTTTCTGACTCAATGAATTTGTACCAGCCCATTTCAGTTAGTTTAGGTTTCGGTGAATTGCACACACCCAGGAACTGGTTACCTAAATAATTTGTCAGACTTCTCCCAGATTTCAAGGGCAGAAATTCAAAGATAAAACTCTTGATAAACTGGTTTTTATTACAGATTCCAGAAAACCAGAATACCAACAACTGCAGAACTCAAACCATATAGATAACATTAGCAAAATATTACCTTTCCCCGAAAATAAGACCTACCCTGAAAATAAACCCTAGTGCTTATTTTGGGGTACAAAAGAAAATAAGTAACAGTCTGAATTTTGAAATTAAAATTCCAAGGCCAGAGGTTTCCTCAAAGTATAGATTTATTACCATGTTTTCCCGAAAATAAGACCCTGTCTTATATTTTTTGAACCCCAAAATAAGCGGTTTGGCTTTATTTTCGAGGAGTTCTTGTTATTTTGGGGTGTGTGGAGCAAGATGGGGCTCCTCTTGTCACCTTACCTGATTTCCAGCTCTGCTTTTAAATATTTTTGGGGAGGGCTTATTTTTGGGGGGAGGCTTATTTTAGCACATGCGCTCAAAGGGTTTTTTTCAGCAGATATATTCATTGACTCTTATCTAGCACCAATTTAATGCTGACTGCAAGTTGACTAGATTCTTTGTCTGGGCATGGCCAATAAATCACCTTAACTAGAATTTAACATGTGGCCCCTGATACGTCGTGCTTGACAAGGGGGTCAGTGTTGTGGCTCCGTTACCTGAGCCTGTGTCATCGGCAGGAGAGGACTCCGAGAGTGAAGGGGAGGAGTTGGCAAGGCCTCCCTCTCCAGGACCCTCCTCTTTGGCAATGCCTTCGGTGTCCACTTTGCATTTTGCATTGCCGGACTTTTGCTATAGACTTTGCTGGATTATCTTTGGACTTGATTGACTCTGTAATTATTGAGCTGTTTCCTTTGATGTACCAGAAGCGGGGAGAAGTTATCTCTCTTCTTTATAAGTAATAAACTCTTGGCAGGCAGCCACTAGGTTGTTGCCAAGTTCCGTTATCATAAGGAAAAGGATTTTGCCGGCTGGTTTGGTCTTTAACTCTTGAACGTCTGTTGGTGTGTGTGTGTGTGTGGAACGGGGACAGAACAGTCAGTTACGAATTGCTGGCAAAGTGACCCAACTCAACAGCTTGACTTCTGGAAAGCAAGTGGTTTACAGCTGGCGGTGCCCACCCAGGAAGTCATTTTGTGAGAACACTCTCAAAATCCCCAACGAAGGTTGACTTCCCCAGTGTAAAATGCTGAAAGGTCTCTTCGGACAGCACTTCCATTTGGGTGACCAGATCTTGGAAACGCATCTTGACACACTTACAGAGGCCTAGAGTTGAGAACAGGCCCTCCAACACCTTCAACCACGAGCAGGTTTCAGCCACTTGACTCATGACAGGTATCATAGCCTTAGATCCGTGATGGCGAACCTATGCATGCGTGCCAGAGGTGGCATGTAGTGTCCTTTCTGTGGGCATGTGCGCTGTCACCAGCTGTTCTTCTGGTTTCCAACTGGTCTTCGTGGGAGCCGGAGCACCAGAAAATGGCCCGAAAACGGCCCCAAAAAACGGCCCTGAAAATGGCCAAAAATGGCCAAAAAAAAGGCATGTGCGTGCCAGCCAGCTGGTCTTCAGGTTTCCGGTGTTCCAGCATGTGAGAGGACCAGCTGGCTGGCATGCATGTGCGTGCCGGAAACCCAAAGTCCAGCTGGCCAGCGCACACATGCACATGCATACCGTTGTGGTCCGCCAGCAGCCTGCGGAGCTGGCAGCGGAGTCGGAAAGCGATGAGGCTGAGGAAGAACATGGGCCAGTCCTGGAGGCTGGGGAAGGTCGGATGAGGGCTCTGCGTCAGAGACAGAGATGGGGCCAGGGCCATCGGGGAGCAATGCGTGGACTCCGGAGCCTCCAGAGGCTGACAGCAGAGAGGCAGAGGAACAGGAGGAGCCTGTTCCTAGTGCACGCATGCGAAGAACTGCCAGAAGGCAAGAGCAGCTAAAGCAAAGAGGACGACTTGGGAGTAGGGCCAAGAGATGATTGGCCCTTCCCATAAGGCTTAAAAGACCAGCAACGGCTCTTGGCCTCTTTGTCGGAAAACAACGTTGATAGACTTGTTCTTGTCTTGCTGCACTTATCTCTGGTCGGCGTCTTCTGCTTCTGAACTTTTGCCAAGCGAAGCCTTTGCCAGTTTGCCTAACTATACCAAGGTTGGTGATTAGACTGAAGAATTTGTGTTATGAAGAATTTGTTTTGATTTAGTTTGGACTACGCTGAGAATGAGTTAATTCTCAGCTGTTCTAATAAAGTCTGTCTGTTTTGGAACTGTTTGCGTCTAACTCTACTTACTTGGGCCTGGGTCACAACACATACACAACACGTTCCAGTTTGGGCACACGGTGCCGAAAAGGTTCACCATCACTGCCTTAGATGGTGTTCAAAGATAACAATGGTTCGAAGTGAATTTTAAAAAATCAACAAGACTACAGATCTCCAGGGTCAGGTAATAATACATTCATTACATTATATTGATTTGTCAGGACAGCAGTACATATTTCATCCTAGTGGGCCCACGAGAATCAAGGGACGGGACCACCGTGTCCCACCGCAGGCACCCCAATCCATAAAGTGGTGCGTGCAACACAGTTAAGGATCAACCATCAAACAGGATAAAGTTCTTTTGTCGACATAAAGCATGACTTGGACTCCTGGTTCTATGGACCCATATCTGATTGCTACAGAAGAAGAAGAAGGAAGTGCCTAAGGCAGAAACACTGAGCCACATCAGACTCTTAACCAGAATTTTCTTGAGCCCATCAATACATCTTTCAGTGGACTTGGTTCCTGCTCTGCGCCTCTCCCTTGGGAGTTGGGCGGCATAGAAATATGATTAATTAAATTAAATTAAATTAAATTCTCCCACTGACGTCGTCAACATCAACCTCCACTTGAGTAGAAGTCCACGAAGAGGTGAAGCAACACCAAGGTCGCAGGGCTTTTTCTCGGTGCAAATCGAGTAAGGGAACCTTGGTTTCTCCCGTTCTTTCTATCAGAGGAATGCAACTCCATCAAGATCTCTCTTGGTCTAATATTATTTTCTAAGCAGCCCCCCAAAAAAGAAGAAGAAGAAGAAGAAGAAGAAGTAACAGCAGCAGAGGACACCCAAATCCTACTTCTACCAACGAAGGGTAAAAAGGGTTCACCTCACAACACCCATCATTTTCTCTCAGCCTTGCTTTTCCCTGAGACAGCATCCTCCCCCCTCAAAAAATCTAGCAAGGAAGTCAAAGGGAAGACCTAGTTGACTCCTTCACCACTTTGGCTTTGCCGGCAAACGGTCTAACCTAGCTAACACGTTCATGGCCCGATGTCTATCCCCTTGGGTTGCGTTAGGAAAGGTGACACAGCCCTTCAAAAACCTCAAGCCCAGACACCTAGCTCTAGATTTCACAGATGAGGATAGCGTTCTTCTCCGTTTGGTCTTCAGATCCCGGGGGAAACTCGTGTTAGGATTGGCCGGGGGGAACCCAGCCGCCAAAGGCCTTCTCCAAGTATTGTGCCACGGCCAAGGTCAAGTGGTCATTATTGGGTCCGGCCACCACCTGGATGCCTAAAGGGAGTCCGTCCTTGCTCAAGCCAAGAGGACACTGCGTCACGGGTAAGCCCAGAATGTTGAAGATGGCTGAAAGGAAGAAAGGAAAAAAAAAAAAAGACAACAGAGAGGTCAAAGGTTGGGAGCGCTTTTTCTGTAAAACCAGAATAAAGCATTTGAAGAGGAATCTTTCAGGGCAATCGAAACTTCCAAAGGGATTCCAAGGAGATTCTCTGGGATTATGAGATCAGAGTGGGCCTTAAAGGGGAGAGAAGCATATGGTCATTGTTTAGACGTGATGTTGTGATACAGTTAGTTGGAAAATTCCAGCCTTCATTGTTGGATTTATCTATAACAATGTTCTGACCTAGGCTCCCTTAACAAGCAGGAGGCAGGGATTACTGGCAAAACCTCTTTTTATTTCCTATGGGAGGGGCCAATCACTTCCAAGGTGTGGCTTTACTCTAGAGTCGCCCCTGCTTTCTGAGTTGTTCTTGTCTTCTGGCAGCTCTGCGCACACTGGGAACGGGCTCCAGCTGTTCCTCTGCCTCACTGCCGCCTAACTCCCTCTCTGCCTCCGACGCAGAGACCTTGTCTGAGCTTTCCCCAGCCCCCAGGACTGGCCCATGTTCCTCCCCAACCTCCTCACTGTCCGACTCTGCTGCCAGCTGGCGAGCCACAACAAGCAAGAATGCAAGTAATAAACCAGCATCCAACACAAAAGACCCAACGACTGCTAGAGATCAGAGGAAATCTACGTCCGCTTCTAAAAGGGCAACGCTGCTAGAGAGGGTCGAATTCTGCCCTGGTGTAAATAATAATAACGCAACAGTACCTTTAACACGTCCACATCTGCCTATCCCAGGCCCTTGGGAAGGACTTGATAGCTTGGATAAAAATGTCAAATCCAATCCATCTGGAGCAGGGGTCTCCAATCTTGGCAATTTTAAGACTTCTGGGAGTTGAAGTCCACAAGTCTTAAAGTTGCCAAGGTTGGAGACCTCTGATCTGGAGGATTATGCGACTAACCATAATAATAATAATAATTTTATATGCTGCCCGACTCCTAGCAACCCTGGGCAATTTACAAATTGTTCAAAACATTGAAACGAGAAAGCCACAGACACACACACACAGAAAGAGAGAGAAAGAGACAGACAGAGAGAGTGAGTCAGAGAGAGAGAGAGAGACGGACAGGGAGAGTCAGAGAGAGGGGGGGATAGAGGGAGGGGGGAGAGGGAGGGGGAGAGACAGATAGAGAGCGTGAGTGAGTGAGAGACGGAGAGCGAGAGTCAGAGAGAGAGAGGGGGGATAGAGGGAGAGGGGAGAGGGAGGGAGGGAGAGAGAGAGTCAGAGAGAGAGATGGGGATAGAGCGGGAGGGGGAGGGGGAGAGGGAGGGAGGGAGAGAGAGAGATGGGGATAGAGGGAGAGAGAGGGGGAGAGGGAGAGACAGACAGAGAGAGTGAGTGAGTGAGAGAGACGGAGAGCGAGAGTCAGAGAGAGAGAGATGGGGATAGAGGGGGAGGGGGAGGGGGAGGGGGAGAGGGAGAGGGAGGGAGGGAGAGAGAGATGGGGATAGAGGGAGAGAGAGGGAAAGGGAGAGAGATAAACAAACAGAGAGAGTGAGTCAGAGGAAGAGGAGAGAGTCAGAGAGAGAGAGATGGGGAGAGAGGGAGAGAGAGAGAGAAGATGACAGAGCTAACAAACCAGATGGGAACAAAGAAAAAGAAAAAAAATGGCTTCAGTCATGATTACCAAAGACCTGGCTGAAGATTCTGATCAATTTTAAAATAGGTTCTGAACCACCCTTCCTCTCACTCAGAATACTGTCAATACTCTTCTAGGATCAGTACTGAAACTACAATTTCTAGCTAGGTTGCCTCTCTTCTCCATGAAACCCCAAGGAAACAGCAGAAGAACTGTGGGACTGCCATCTATATTATGCTGCATTTGCTCTTGCGGGGTGTGGAAGCACAGGGGAAGTGCACCCACGCAAGTCTACACTTGCAAAGAAATCAGGTTTCATGTTACACGTGTGGTAAATCCTAGGCGACTCCAGCTATTTCGGACCAGCTCCCAGCTGCAATAGCCCAAGGCTGAAGGGAACCTATTGCTTTGCTATCAGAAAACCTCATCACGGAGTCTTGCACAGATTAGAGATGGGGTTTTAGATACAGATAAAGATAGATACAGATTAACAGAGTTGGAAGGGACCTTGTAGGTCATCTAGTCCAACCCCCTGCCCAAGCAGGAAACCCTACACCATTTCTGACAGATGGCAGTCCAGTCTCTTCTTGAAAGCTTCCAGTGATGAAGCTCCCACAACTTCCGAAGGCAACTTCTGTTCCATGGGTTGATTGCTCTCTCTGTCAGAAAATTCCTCCTTATTTCCAGGTTGAATCTCTCCTTGTTCAGTTTCCATCCATTATTCCTTGTCTGGCCTTCGGGTGATTTGGAAAATAGCTTGAGCCCCTCCTCTCTGTGGCAGCCCCTCAAATATTGGAATCCTGCTATCATGTCTCCCCTGGTCCTTCTCTTCACTAGACTAATCATGCCCAGTTCCTGCAACCGTTCATCATGTTTTAGCCTCCAGTCCCCTAATCATCCTGGTTGCTCTTCTCTGCACTCTTTCTAGAGTCTCAACATCTTTTTTATAGTGTGGTGACCAAAACTGGATGCAGTATTCTAGGTGTGGTCTTACTAAGGCTTTATAGAGTGGTATTAATACCTCACTTGATCTTGATTGCATCCCTCTGTTAATGCAATTTAGGATTGCATTGGCTTTTTTGGCTTCCACCGCACACTGTTGGCTTATATTTAATTGGTTGTCCACTAAGACTCCAAGATCCTTTTCATAGTTCCTGCTATTAAGCCTGGTTTCACCCAATCTATATGTGTACTTTGGGTTTTTCTTGCCTAAGTGTAAGACTTTACTTTTCTCTACGTTGAATTTCATTTGTTAGCTAGGGCCCAGTGTTTAAATCTGTTGAGATCCATCTGGATCGTGAACCTATCATCTAGGGTGTTGGCTATTCCTGCCAGTTTAGTATCATCCACAAATTTTTAAGTTCCCCTTCTATTCCCTCATTGAAGTCATTTATGAAGGTATTGAATAAATCTTGTTTATAGAAGGCTGTGTTAAAATATCCCCTTATAGCCCTAGCAGCTGCTATATTCTGACTAGGAAGAATAACTATCTTCACATCTTTTCCCACGATTCTGCACAGCCTTAAAAAAAAAAAAGGAGCTGCTTTAATGAGCCAACTTCTCAAAGCAGCATCTTTTAAGCTCAGCAGAAGCTCGAAGCCGGACATGGCTGCTTTTATGAGCAGCAGAGAGAGATGCTTAGGAAAGCATTCCTTCCACATGTCTGGAGCAATCACAATTCCCACACTCTTGCCAATCAAAATTAAAATTAATTATTTTTTTTTTAATTTGATTTATATGCCGCCCTTCTCCGAAGACTCAGGGCGGCTTACAATGTGCTCAGCAATAGCCTTCATCCTTTTGTATATTTATACAAAGTCAGCTTATTGCCCCCACAAACTGGGTCCCCATTTCACCTACCTTAGAAAGGATGGAAGGCTGAGTCAACCTTGAGCCTTGGCGAGATTCGAACCCTGCAGTAATTGCAGGCAGCTGGTCTTAATAACCAGCTTAATAACAGGGTGCCTTAAACCCCTGTACTACCAAGGTTCTTAATTAAATTAAAATGCCTGCTGTAGCAACGTTCCTTGCTTTTGCCAACCATTCCCACCCAATTTTCTAATCTATCAATTGCAGCATCCAGAAAGAGTGTTACATCAATCGCAGCAATTCGAACAAGGTTTGAATTGCTGCGAGTTTCTTACCTGTGTAGGCAAAATTGAAGGGCATGCCCAAAGGCACGTGATGCTTGGGAGCTAGTACAGGGTGTGAAGGGTATAAGAAGATACCATTCTCTCCTAGCAATTCTACCATCTCTGCTCGAAGGCTCTGTGCCATGCTGGCTACCTTGGCGTTCGCCTTCGAATTGTATTTCGTCAACTTCTCCGTTAATCCTAGTACTGGAGAGAAAAACATATTGAGACAGACCAATTCACGGCAAAAACGGTTTGTTCCACCTGTTTAAATACAGTAGTACATAGCTGTCTGAGGGATTCTGGGAATTGAAGTTCACAAATCTTAAAAGTTCTTGATGTTAGAGACCCCTGCACCAGACAGATGAGTACCGTGTTTCCCCGAAAATAAGACCCTGTCTTATATTTTTTTAAACCCTGAAATAAGCACTTGGCCTTATTGCCATGTGTTCAAAAGCCCGATTGGACTTATTATCAGGGGATGTCTTATTTTTGGGGAAAACAGGGTAGAGTCCCATGATGTAGAATCATAGAATTCTAGACTTAGAAGGGATGATGGAAGTCTTCGGGTCCAATCAACATCCTGCCTAAGGCAAAACCATAAGATTTTTTTAAAAAATAGAAGTGGCAAAGTACAAACATAAAGAACTGCCCCAGGTCTTGAGTTCTTACCAATGGCTGGAAACGTGTGAGAAGAGAGTCTCATCATCCATTTTACCAGTTCCCATGATAGCCATACTGGTTTTCCATGGTCTCCAAGCAAATCGATGAAGGTTTGATTTTCCTACAGATGACATGGACAAAGAAAAACAGATGGAGATGGAGAGAAGAAACATTTCCCCCTTTTGACCCATCTCTTCATTCTTAGTATCATTTTTTAAAAAAATTTCAAAACTTTATGGTCAGTGCACCACATATGTACAATGAGATTGGTTGAACTCCTTCAGTGCACGCCCTTCAACACAATACAACTCACAGTGAAGACAGAAAATCCCTAACCCAATAAATCATATTAACAGAACACCCAGCTATTGTGAAGAAGGCACAGAAGAGGCTGTACTTCCTGAGAATGTGCAGGAAGATAAATCTATCTCAGCATCTACTTCTGTCCTACTATCGCAGCACCATTGAGAGTGTCTTGACATACGGCATTCTTGCATGGTATGGGAGCAGCTCTGTAGCGGATAAAAATGCTCTACAGAGAATCATTAAAACTGCCCAGAATATCATCAGGCTCCAACTACCAGCCCTGGATGACATCTTCGAATCTCGCTGTTTGAGGAAATTGCGTAACATTCTCAGAGACTCTTCCCATCCTGCTTCCAATCTTTTTGGATTGTTGCCTTCTGGCAGAAGATACAGAACAATTCAAACTCGGACCACACTGTCTTCTGAATAGTTTTTATCCCAGAGCTATAATTGCCACTCAACAATGAACTAAAAGGCCACCATCAGTGAGCTGTTGGACAGCATTACTTGGTCTGTTGTGTGGATGTTTGGGTGGTTTGGGGGGGGGGGGTTGTGTGGGGGGGGGGGGGCAGTGGTGGGTTTCAATTTTTTTTACTACTGGTTCTGTGGGCATGGTTTGGTGGGCATGGTGTGGCTTGGTGGGCGTGGCAGGGGAAGGATACTGCAAAATCTCCATTCCCTTCCCACTCCAGGGGAAGGATACTACAAAATCACCATTCCCTCCCCAATCCAGGGGAAGGTTACTGCAAAATCCCCATTTCCTCCCGATCAGCTGGGACTCAGGAGGCAGAGAATAGATGGGGGCAGAGCCAGTCAGAATTTTTACTACCAGTTCTCTGAACTATTCAAAATTTCCGCTGCTCAAAACCAGCAAGCGAACTAATGCGCTGAAGCTGACCAGGCTAAGGACGCTAGCCAGATGAATACCTGGTAGCAGTGATGAAATCCAATTTTTTTTATTACCGGTTCTGTGGGCGTGCCTTGGTGGGCATGGTGTAGCTTGGTGGGTGTGGCAGGGGAAGGATATTGCAAAATCTCCATTCCCATCCCACTCCTGGGGCCAGCCAGAGGTGGTATTTGCCGGTTCTCCGAATTGCTCAAAATTTCCGCTACCGGTTCTCCAAAACCTGTCAGAACCTGCTGGATTTCACCCCTGCCTGGTAGGCAGAATTTCCCCCCACCCCTCCTTCCCAAAAACTAAGGTGCATCTTATACTCCAAGAAATACAGTAACAAGCGCTTAAAAAGGACGACAGGCCAAGTTCCTTTTTGAAGCATATTCCAGTAAACCTCAGAAAAGTTACAAAATCTACTCAGCAGACTGTGCGGAAGCTGCAGTCGTGATCCTACACAACAGCTTCCATGATGACAGGTATGAGCTGCTCTGTAGAAATAATAGTTTTGTTAGAACCTACACATTGTTTAAGCCAAGTGTCAGCAACCTGCGGCTCCAGAGCCGCATGTGGCTCTTTGGGCCCTCTGCTGTGGCTCCCTGTCAGGTGATCCCACCACTGGCTGGCCCCTCGCCCTCCCCTCCCAATCACTCCTCACCTGGCCTGAGAAGGTAAGAGCGACGGTGGGAGACAGAGAAGCAGCCAGGGCAGAACCAGAGAGATACAGAGAGAGGGGGAGACAGAGAGATACAGAGAGGGGGGGAAAGAAGGAGAGAGAGGGAGGAGGGAGGGAGGGAGGGGAGAAACAGATGTCAAAAGGGTTTTGTGATTTCTGGTGTTTTTTAACAACCGGTTCTCTGCCCTAATGACCAGTGGGTAGGCTTGACTAGGGAGTCATGTGACTGGTGGAAGTGAGTGACATTGAGTTGGCCACTCCCACCCAGCTTTTGTGGCTCCGGGTGTTTTCTTTTCTGTGGGAAACAAGTCCAAATGGCTCTTCGAGTGTTTAAGGTTGCTGTTAAGTTTAAGCAAAAGCTTTTCAGCTGTCTCCAGTAGATTTCCCATCCTTGGGTTGGGGAAAAAAGGGGAAAGATTTGCCTTTGACATACCTGATTATTACTGCTCTTGGAAGACATCATAACTGACCAGATCTGGAAGGAATATTTCATTTTGCGGATGGCCACGTTCTCCACCTGAATCCCCAGGTCCGTCTCTAAGTGTGCCACCATCTTTAGGATAGCAAAGAGAAGGAGAAAGAGAAAAGAGCCGTCAGCTTCTCTCTCAACCTTTTACGTGAAATATTAATTAATTAATGAATTTAGTTTGTCAAACATGTACAAGATAACAGGTGTTAAGTATAAACATGGACACGAGTACAAATAAACCGGGACGGTAGGCACGCTGGTGCGCTTATGCATGCCCCCTTTACGGACCTCTTAGGAACGGGGTGAGGTCCACGGTAGACAGTTTAAGGTTAAAGTTTTGGGGGTTTGAGGAAGTAACCATGGAGTCAGGTAGAGCATTCCAGGCATTGACCACTCTGTTGCTGAAGTCGTATTTTCCACAATCGAGTTTGGAGCGGTTTACCTTGAGTTTGTATCTATTGTTTGCCTGTGTATTATTGAGGTTGAAGCAGAAGCAGTCATTGACAGGTATGACGCTGTAGCAGATAATTTTGTGTACTAAGCTTAGGTCAGACCGTAGGCGGTGTAGTTCCAGGTTGTCCAAGCCCAAAATTTCGAGCCTGGTGGCATAAGGGATTCTATTGTGAGCAGAGGAGTGGAGGACTCTTCTCGTGAAATACCTCTGGACCCGCTCAATGTCCGATATACAGTGTGGATTCCAGGCAGACGAGCTGTATTCAAGAATTGGTCTGGCAAAGGTTTTGAATGCCTTAGTTTGTAGTACAATGTTACCGGAGAGGAAGTTTCACAAAATTAGGTTAACAACTCTTACTGCCTTTTTTGGCAGTGAGCTCTGGGGCTTAGATCGTTTGAGATTAGTACTCCTAGGTCCTTGACAGAGTGAGGGTCGTCTACGAGGTCGTATCCGCCCAGCTTGTATTTGGTGTCCTGATTTTTATTGCCAATGTGTAAGACAGAATAAGGGTTAGTTAATATTAGTTAATATTAATTGAAGGAGGAGGAACTCTGACAATCAAAGGGCTACCCTGCAATCTGAAAGAAGAAAAGTTTTTGAGCAAAAGAAAAAAAGCACCCACACATACGAATACACTGATTCGCTGAAGGACCAGTATTCACTTAACGACGGCTGCAAAAAAAGAATTCCATAAAATTGGGACCGGTCATTTGGGTGCTTCGATTTACAACTGTCGTGGCTTACAATGGGAATTCTGACCTCTATTATGGTCATACGTCGAGGACTTCCTGTACAGTGATTTCCAGGTCTCAACTTAGCTGTGTTTCTACTCCTTCTTTGGGAGATGCCTGGATTTGAACCCAGGATGTTCTGCGTACAAAAATTCTAATTTTTTTTACTACCGGTTCTGTGGGCGTGGCTTATTTTGTGGGCGTGGCTTGATGGTCATGTGACAATTCTTAAGGATTTAGCAGAGGTACTGGTCTACCATGTTTTTAACTGCTTGCAGAGCTGTACCGGTCTACCCATTTATTTTTGCAGGCACTGGTCTACTCATGTTTTTTTGCAAGCACTGGTCTACCCATTTATTTTTGCAGGCACCGGTCTACTCATGTATTTTTGCAGGCACAGTCTGGAGTTCGATCCTGATGGGGCTTAAGGTTGACTCAGTCTTCCATCCTTCCGTGGTGGGCAAAATGAGGACCCAGATTGTTTGGGGGCAATAGGCTGACTCTGTAAACCGCTCAGAGAGGGCTGTAAAGCACTATAAAGCGGTATATAAGTCTAAGAAGTGCTATTGCTATCTGAATTTTGATCACATGGTCATGGGGATGCTGCAAAGGTCGTAGGTATGAAAAAATGGTCACTTTTTCCAGCACCGTTGTAACTTTGAATGGCCACTAAATGAACTGTTGTAAGTCGAGGACCACCTATATCTAAGCTGCTCTCCGATTTCTGCAACAGCGCTCAAGCTTTGAAGCAACCAAAACCAACTTCATCTTACTTTCCGATGAGCTTGGAGAATCTCTTTATCGACCGGTAAGAGGAAAATGGAGCCTCCGTCGTGTTCCATGGAATAAAACTTTATATTCTGCAAAGATACCGGGTCATCCAGCTTCAGTCTGAAAAAGAAGGATGGAATAAGATGGAAAAGGCAGCCATGAAGAACAATGGAACCTATCCTACCTTAGAAGATCCTCCAACTGACATGCGTACACTGGATCTGGTTTAGACCAGCTCCTTGACAATATAATCTACTAGATCAGGGGTGTCAAACTCGATCTCATTGAGGGTCGAATCAGGGTTGTGTTTGACCTCGGAGGGCCAGGGGTGGGCGTGGGCATGACACGGGACTCATGTCGGGAGGGGGGGGCAACTGTGGTGGCCAAATGCTAAGGAAGGACTTCCCTGAGACCCTCCCTCACTCTCATTATAATCTTCCTTCGTTCCTTCCTTCCTTCCTTCCTTCCTTCCTTTCCTTCCTTCCTTCCTTCCTTCCTTTCCTTCCTTCCCTCTTCATTCTTATCTCTTCTTCCTTCCTCTCTTTCCTTCTTTCTCCTTCCTTGCTCTCTTCCCATCTTTCCTTCTTTTTCTTTGTCTTTCGTCTTTTCCCTTTCTCCTTTCCTGTCCCTTCTTGCATGCTCAAATGCAGAAGGGGAAACATCTCTCCTTTTGTTTTTAGTTTGTTTTGCTAGCCCTCTACCCACGCATGTGCCCACGCGTCCTGTTTTTGCTAGCAGAGGCATCCTGGGCTGGTCCTTTGCTAATTCCAGGCCGGCTCCGCGGGCAGATCTAAGCATCCCACGGGTCAGATGTGGTCCATGGGCCTTGAGTTTGATACCCCTGTACTAGATTGATTGATTGATTGATTACATGTATTCATATGCCGCCATTCTCCCGAAGGACTCAGGGCGGCGAACACAAGTTAAGAAACAAGTACAATAAAATCATAATTTAATCCAAATGATTAATTAGTAGTAAATAATAAAGCCCGGAATCAGTCTCAGCCTATTTGTTTGAAAAGCCAAGTCTTCAAGTCCCGACGGAAGGAGCAGAGATCAGGAGTCATCCGGAGCTCAGTAGGTAATTCATTCCAGAGGGTGGGAGCACACACAGAGAAAGCCCTACCCCTGGGCACAGCAAGGTGATGCTCTGAGACCTGTTGAGTCATCCTTTGAGAAGAAAGTAGTACCACTTGAGGTACTGCTAGATGCTAGATATTAATGCTAGATACTAATGCTAAAAAAAAATAAGCATTAAATTTTAGGCTGACCATGTGCACAAACAGCCCCACGATCCTCTAAGAAGAGTACGTATCATAAATAAAAAACGGTATCGGCAAATGAACTTTAATAATAAGTCAATACTTAGTTACGTAAATAGAGAAACAGAATGACTAGGCAAAGGAGGCAGTGGAGGTGGTAGTGTGGTCCACCAGCAGCCTGCGCAGCTGGCAGCAGAGTCGGACAGTGAGGAGGCTGGGGAGGAACATGGGCCAGTCCTGGAGTCTGGGGAAGGCTTGGATGAGGGCTCTGCATCGGAGGCAGAGATGGGGCCAGGGTCATCTGGGAGTTATGTGCGGACTCCGCAGCCTCCAGAGTCGGACATCAGAGAGGCAGAGGAACAGGGGGAGCCTGTTCCTAGTGCACGCATGCACAGAGCTGCCAGAAGGCAAGAACAGTTAAAACAAAAGGGGCGACTCAGGAGTAAGGCTTGGAGATGATTGGCCCCTCCCATAAGACATAAAGGAAGAGCAAAGGCACGTGGGCCTTTGTAGGAGGCAACATTGTGGATGGTGTCGGTTTGTACTTTGAAGCTCCGTTTTTGACTCTGTGTTTCTGTGTGGCCTTGCCAAGCTAATTGCCAATTAGGTCTTTGGCAGCATGTCAAAGAAGATAAAGGTGGGTGTTTACCAGCCTTATCCCGAAGGACTGTGGCAGACTTCTGTTGGACTATTTATAAACTCTTGGTGATTCAGCACGTGCTGTGAATGAAAGGAATTCACAGCCGTTAAAATTTAAAAAACTGGAGGTTTGGGGACTAATTGCATGCTTTTTACTATATCAGGAAGCCTCAGTCAGAACAGGTGGGGATGATTTTTGACTTCCAGCTGGCTTCCCCATTGACACTGGGAAACTGGCAGGGAGTGTCACATGTCCCAGGGACGCTGCAACCATCAGGAATCCATGCCTGTGACCAAACTCCTGAATGTTGATCACATGACCCGTGTGTTCTGCCTCAGCTATGGACCCCAAAGAACGCAGCACACACAAAGTCTGTTCAAACCTTAGTTTACTAAATAAACCAGTTTTTTACAAAAATGGCTGTTAATTAACTGCATTAATAGCCACCAAGAATCCAAAGAATACTACTGAAAGCTTACTGTGGTTGGCAGATTGTCCAGAAGCAATTTGCAGGAAGCTGATAAGGTAAGCAAGACAAGACACGAAGGAATGTGAATGAAGTTGTTCCATGCAAATTGCTTCAGTCGGCGTTCCTCCTTAAATAGGCTAAGGGAGTGGCCAATTAGCCCCAAGCCTTACTCTCGAGGAGACCTCCTCCTGAGGAGCCACTCCTGCCTTTTGGCAGCTCTGAGCGCCCGTGCATCGAGAAGAGGCTCCTCCTCTTCGTCCTCTTCACTTAAGGGAGCTTCTGGAGGTTCTGAAGGCCCTGGCTGAATCCCTGCCTCTGGCACCACATCTTCTCCAGCCTCCTCATTGTCTGACTCGAGCGCCAGCTGCACAGGCTGCTGGCACAGCACCACACCAGCCTCCTCGCTGTCGGAATACTAGCTGCACAGGCCGCTGACGGGCCACAACACTGTGGTGGAAGGCTACTTTTCCTGTTGTAACTTCGAACAGTTGCTAAACAAATGGTGCTAAGTCAAGGACTACCTCTACTACAAATCAACCAAAGCCACTTACTTGGAAATGTTTGGTCCAGCCATGACTCTCAACAGGAGTTCCATGTCTTCCGCATAACGACACATAGGTCCCGTGCACAGGAAGTTTGTACGATTGCCAACCGCATCAGGAAACTGGCCGTCGTTGGGCACCACCCCTACAGAAACCCACAGAAGCAGAGTTCAGTCCTGCATGACAAGCCACATTTCTTCTAGCCTGGCATTTAAAGCTGCTTCCTTTCGTAAGTTGCCCTCCACTAACGACTTGTTTAGTAACAAGTCCGGCTGAAGGTTGACTCAGCCTTCCATCCCTCCGAAGTTGGTAAAATGAGGACCCAAATTGTTGGGGGCCCATTGGCTAAGATTTGTTTTTGTTTTTTTAATCAAGTTTTATTGATTTCCCCCCCCCCCTTCACCTGCATATTTTATGAACAGCGTATTGGCCATATCATATCTTATACAACTGATCGTCTCCAAATACATTTTGCTTAGTTACAATTTCTGCCAAAATCTTCTTTTTCAATGTTTTTTAATCGCATCTTAATATTGCTATGCTTATTTATATAAGCAACATCTTCATTTGCCCTCAAATTCTAATTTCTCTATTTTTACTCATATTTATTCTCTTTTATTTTTTAATAATTCATTCTTTATCCTAGGACATTTACACGTGTTCGGGGTTGCCTTTCTTCCATCTCATCTTTTTTATTGTACAGCAATCTTTCTTCTCATTCTCTTCCATCTCCCTCCCTTCCTTTTATCCTTCCTACTTTCTTCTTCCCTCCTTTCCTTCACTCCTTCCCCTTCCTTTTCCCCCTCCTCCTCTCTTTCTCCCTATCTAACCTTCTCTCCTACTCTTATTTCCCCACCCTTCCTTCCTCCCCTCTTTCTTTTCTTCCCATTCCTCTCTCTCCTTCTCAGGCTAAGATTTGTAAACCGGCTCAGAGAATGCAGTAAAGCACTATTTATTTATTTATTTATTTATTTGTTTGTTTGTTTGTTTGTTTGTTTGTTTAAATTAAATTGAATTTTTATACTGCCCTTCTCCCGGAGGACTCAGGGCGGTGTACAGCCAGAGATAAAACCCACAACAATATAAAAGTTAAAAGACGAATTAAAAGTATTAAATAATTTGGCCGAAAAAGCAAAAATAAAGACAACCCATTAAAATAGCATTAGGCCAGCCCTGCTTGGTGAAACAGTAGCGTTTTGAGGGCGCGGCGAAAGGTGCGAAGGTCGGGAATCCTACGAATCTCCGGGGGCAGCTCATTCCAGAGGGCAAGTGCCCCCACAGAGAAGGCTCTCCCCCTGGGGATCGCCAGTCGACATTGTTTGACCGACCTGAGGAGACCCACTCTGTGGGAGCGTACTGGTCGATGGGAGGCTATCGGTGGCAGAAGGCGGTCTCGTAAGTACCCAGGTCCTAAACCACTATGGAGTGGTATACTCGTGTTTCCCTGAAAATAAGACCCTGTCTTATATTTTTTGGAACCCCGAAATAAGCGCTTGGCCTTATTTTCGGGGAGGTCTTATTATTTTGGGGCGCGTGGAGGAAACCAGAGGAAATGGCGGGGACCGGTTGCACATGTGTTTAAATATTTTGGGGGAGGGCTTATTTTTGGGAGTGGGGCTTGTTTTAGTACATGCGCTCAAAAGCCCGATTGGGCTTATTATCAGGGGATGTCTTATTTTTGGGGAAACAGGGTCTAAATCTAAGTGCTATTGCTAATCACCAACTTGTAATTAGAACTGCTTTTAGGGAGGGATAACCAGGCGATACCTGTGCTGGGTTTGTGTCCAAAGATCCCATTGAAGAAGGCGGGCATACGGATGCTGCCCCCGATGTCTGAGCCGATACCAATCACAGAACCAGCAGCTGCTAAAATGCAACCTTCACCTCCTGCGTGAAAACAAAACGCCAGATTGATCACTCAGATTATCGTACAAACCTGGAAAACCTGTTCTGGAAAGAGCAGTTGTACTACTCTGGCCTTGACAACTTCAGAGCTTATGTTAAATTTTTTTGTTTGATTTATCTGCAAAAATATGCATATCCAGGGCCACAGCTGAGTTATAAGCAGGTTTTACGTGCACTTGGCTGATAAAGTTATTTAGGTCAGTGTTTCTGTTTTATACACACACACACACACACATAATTTCATTGAAGAAATTTCTAAAAGAATAAAAATTATTTATTGGAACAAAAGGTCACTAAAAAAATAATAAGTGAAAAAAGGAGGGGAAGGGAAGGGAAGATGGAAGGGAAGGAACAGGGGAAGGGAAGGGAAGGGAAGGGAAGGGAAGGGAAGGGAAGGGAAGGGAGAAGGGAAGGGAAGGGAAGGGAAGGGAAGGGAAGGGAAGGGAAGGGAAGGGAAGGGAAGGGAAGGAAGATGGAAGGGAAGGACCGGTGGAAGGGAAGGGAAGGGAAGATAAAGGGAAGGGAAGGGAAGGGAGGAAAGATGGAAGGGAAAGACCGGTGGAAGGGAAGGGACAGTGAAAGGAAAGGGAAAGGGAAGGGAAGGGAAGGGAAGGGACGGTGGAAGGGAAGGGAAGGGAAGGGAAGGGAAGGGAAGGGAAGGGAAGGGAATATCTTCTTAAAAACAGTGACAAGTATATTTATGTTACCCTCTCTGTAAGGTTACCACATAATTTTCTACTTTCCATTCTTTACTTTTTCTAATCATCAAACCCATCAGCAAAAAGTCCATAAAGGGTTTCCCGATTTAATAAATGTAGTTAATTGTCCTTCCCTTAATCAAACAAATCATTTAGGCCAATGTCTCTCAAATGTGGCAACTTTCAAGATGCGTGGACTTCCATTCTCAGAATCCATGGCCGGCTGGGGAATTCTAGAAGCTGAAGTCCAGCATCTTCAAAGCTGCCAAAGTTGGAGAAACCCTGATTTAGATGAGGGCCAGCTCCCTAGCCCAATCCACTTAACGGAGTGGGCCCCTGCGTTATATTGAGCCATGCCTTGTTTTTAGCAGTGCAGCTTACCGAATAAACTCACGCCGACAAAACCAAGCAAATCTGATGATAGTTTAGCATGCTGTGTGAACCAGGACTCTCTCAAAATCAGCTCAAGAAGAAACCCTGGGTTTTCTAGCAACTTCAAACTTAGTGTTTTTTCCAGTGAGACCTGTCTGTCAGGGCAACCTGGTCTACCCAATAGTGGGTGGGATTCAAAATTTTTTACTACTGGTTCTGTGGCTGTGGTTTGGTGGGCGTGGAATGGCTTGGTGGGCGTGGCATGGTGGGCATGGCAGAGGAAGGCTACTGTAAAATCTCAATTTCCTCCCCACTCCAGGGGAAGGCTACTGTAAAATCTCCATTCCCACCCCACTCCAGGGGAAGGATACTGCAAAATCCCCATTCCCTCCCCACTCCAGGGGAAGGATACTGCAAAATCCCCATTCCCTCCCCACTCCAGGGGAAGGATACTGCAAAATTCATGAATGGTATGAATGAGTTTTAATGTTTTAATGTTTTGAATTTTTAAATGTTTTTTATTAGGATTTTAAATGTATTGTGAGCCGCCCTGAGTCTTCGGAGAGGGGCGGCATATAAATTGAATGAAATTGAAATTGAATTGAATTGAAAATCTCCATTCCCTTCAGAAGGATACTGTAAAATCTCCATTCCCACCCCACTCCAGGGGAAGGATACTGTAAAATCTCCATTCCCTCTCCATTTCCCTCCCCGAAAAATCCCCATTTCCTCCCGATCAACTGGGACTCGGGAGGCAGAGAATAGATGGGGGTGGGGCCATTCAGAGGTGGTATTTACTGGTTCTCCGAACTACTCAAAATTTCCGCCACCGGTTCTCCAGAACTGGTCAGAACCTGCTGAAACCCACTCTGCTACCCAAATATGGGACGGAGCATATTGCTTCCGCTTTCGCCCTTTCAGCCCCAATTCAGGAGCCTTGGCAGGCAGTCGCTTCTGCGACAAACTATTTTTGCGTTAAATTTCTATTTCTTTTGTCGGTGAATTTAAATTTAACACTTCCAATTTAATAGCGATTTTTGCTCGGGAGTTCTCGCCTTCACTTGGTGGTGAAGAATTCCAGTGTCCATCCAAGTTCAATCCAGAATGGGGTGATCCACGCTCTACTAACCTGAGCTGCCTCCTACAATGCAGTCGAGGTTATAGGGATTGTTAGATCGGCCGTAGACACGGTTGCTTGATTCGAACCACATGCACAGCTCGCTGCAGTTGGTCACCCCCAGGGGAATTGCGCCTGCTTGCTTCAACCGGGATACCACAATAGCGTCCGTGGTGGAGATCAGGTTACGTCGGTTAACCAGCCCAGAGGAATTGGGCATCCCTACCAAGATGCAGAAATAAAGACATAAAAGAGGTCAGAGTTTCACCTTGTCCAAGAATCCAGAGAGAAGGAAAAGTGGAAAAGGACTAGCAAAATATGGTACTTTTTAAAAGGGTAACAAGTGTTCTACCCCAGCTACGGACCCCAAAGAACGCAGCACACACAAAATCTATACAAAGCTTATTTTACTGAGGTAACAACCAAAGGCTGTTAATAAACTTCCTTAACAGCCTACAAGAATTCTAAGATAAGGTAATCACAGTCTTACTAGGGTTGGCAGAAAGCCCAGAAGCAATTTTACAGAGAATCCAGACGCGAAGGAGAGTGAACTAAAGTTGTTCCCTACAGCATGCTGCAATCAGTGTTCCTCCTTAAATAGGCTAAGGGAGTGTCCAATTAGTCCCAAGCCTTACTCTCGAGGAGCCCTCTTCCTGAGGAGCCACTCTTGCCTTTTGGCAGCTCTGTGCACCCATGCATCGAGAAGAGGCTCCTCCTCTTCGTCCTCTTCACTTAAAGGAGCTTCTGGAGGTTCTGAAAGCCCTGGCTCAATCCCCGCCTCTGGCACCACATCTTCTCCAGCCTCCTCACTGTCCGACTCGAGCACCAGTTGCACAGGTTGCTGGCGCAGCATCACACCAGCCTCGTTGTCAGAATCAGCTACAATCTGCACAGGCTGCTGACGGGCCATAACAACATGGCTCTTGAAACGGCACAGTGGCATTGCAATGAAGGACAACTACATACACAAGGGAATTGTGCAGCTGTTGTTTTTTTTTTAATTGTCGCTTTCCTATAGACAAAAATCTTGCAGACTAGAGCATTTAACAGCAAATTTATGTCATGGGCCGCAAGCAGAGCTGGCAGCAGATTCGGCCAGTGAGGAGATTGGGAAGGAACATGGGCCAGTCCTGGAATCTGCGGAAGGCTCTGATGAGGGCTCTGCGTCAGAGGCAGAGATAGAGCCAGGGCCGCAGCTGCCTTCGGAGTCAGACATCAGTGGGGCAGACAAACAGCTGGAGCCTGTTCCCAGTATGCGCATGCCCAGAGTTGCCATACAAAGGGAACAGCTAAAGAACAAGGGTCGACTTGGGAGTAAGGCCACAGGTGGACGGTGAATGGCCCCTCCCAGAGGGAATAAAAGAGGAGCGAAAGGGGAGGGGTGTTTGCAGGAGACAATTAGTTTGCTTAATCGGTTCGTGACTCTCAGAGGCTCCTTGCCAAGTTTTGAAGATCGGCCTGGCAGTTCTCCAAGCCAGATAAGGTCTGTGACTGTAAATTCTCCCTTGAAAGTCTTTGCTGGATGTGAATGAGAAGAATTCACAGTAACTTAATAAAAAGGGGTTTTTGTCAGGACAAGGAGTCTGCTTCATGCAGATATATCTATTAGATTTATCTAATTTATTAGATATATCCCATGAACTGCTAAGGAGTGTCTGTCCTTGCCCTTTTTCTGCATACCCAAAATCCCAAACTTACAGATGATATTATAATAAGAAAAAAATTGACAGATGCTGAGGTTAGAGAAGTGGATTTATGTGAAATATGGACTACCTGAGAAAGACAAACTGATGAGTAAATATTTTGATGGTTACATAAACGATACTATAATGGAAGATAGTATACTCTTCAATGATTGATATTATTGCATATGTTTATATATATATATATATATATATATATATGTATGTATGTATGTATGTATGTATGTATGTATGTATGTAAAGTGTTTTTCTATCGAGACACTTGGTCTACCACGACATGTGGGAGGGGACATTCTGCTCCCTTTCACCTTTCAGCTCCAATCCAGGAGCTCTCAAGCAGTCGCATTCACTACAAGCCATTTTATACCGAAGTTATATTTTGCTGATAAATTAATAAAGGGAGATTAGTATAGATCTATTTCAAGCTTTTTAGCTCTCATCAGCAAAATATAAATTTGGTATAAAAAATGGCTTGTCGTGAATGCGACTGCTTGAGGGCTCCTGGATTGGAGCTGAAAGGCAAAAGGGAGCAGAATGCCCCCTCCCACATGTTGGGGTAGACCAGGTGTCTCGATAAAAAAAAAAACCTTAATCTTTCCCCTGGCTCAAACTGATGAAGGGAGGAGAACCTGTGGCTCAGAAGGTTAATTCAACTGCCTAACATGCAGGAAGCCCAAATTCGAATCCGAGTAATGGTATGGCTAGCTGATGAAAGCTAAAAAGCTTGAAATAGATCTATACTAGTCTCCCTTTATTTATCAGCAAAATATAAATTATATATATATTTATTTTTATATATATATATATATTTATATATATATATATATATATATATATATATATATATATATATAAAAATTTATATATATATATAAAATTTATATTATTATAAATAAATAAATGTTTATGTTTAACACTTTGGACACCTAGAAAACACACTGTTCAGCATAGAAATGGAATATGTGATATAAAACAATAAAAAAAATATTTTTAAAAACATTCCAAACTTTGCTGTCTCTTTGCTCCAGTGGTGGTTTTCTAACCGGTTCATCCCGGTTCGGGCGAATCGGTAGTGGCGGTGGTGGGAGGCTCCACCCATCCACCCGGACTTCATCACAGACGCTCTGTGCATGCGAAGGTTCTGTGCATATGCAGAAGCGCTGCGCGTGCACACACTCACAGTTCCAAACTGGTAGCGACGGTAAGTGGAACCCATTACTGCTTTGCTCCCTGGAAAAGATCCCCCACCCCCACTCTTGCAATTCTGGACTGCATTCCACCATACCTTAAACTGAAGACTGAAGTCGAAAAACAGTGGAAAGAAACAACCCAAATCCAGCTACTCACCATATAACGCAAAGGCTTCTTTGACAGTGACAGGAACGCCCAGCAAGGGGAATTTTTTCTGGAGTGATTCTTCATCTTCTTGTCCGTCAGACAGCAGCTGATCAACAACCTGTGCCTCCTGCAGGGCGGCCTCAAACCTGAGCAGATGGGTAAGGAAAGAGCAGGGAGGTAAAAAAACCGGAGATGATGTTTTAGGGGTAAAGGTTCCCCTTGTACATATGTGCTAGTTGTTCCCGACTCTAGGGGGCAGTGCTCTAAGAGCCAGCGCTGTTCGAAGACGTCTCCGTGGTCATGTGGCCGGCATAACTAAACACAAAAGGCGCACATAATGCTGTTAACTTCCCACCAAAGGTGGTCCCTGTTTTTCTACTTGTATTTTTTATGTGCTTTCGAACTGCTAAATTGGCAGAAGCTGGGACAAGGAACGGGAGCTCACCCCATTACACGGCACTAGGGATTCGAACCGCTGAACTGCCAACCTTTCGATCGACAAGCTCAGCGCCTTAGCCACTGAGCTAAAACATATAAAGAACGGTTGATGAAATTCGGTACATCTAGTTTAATGAAAAGAAGGTCACACTTGGAATACGGCATCCAGTTTTGGTCGCCACGATGTAAAAAAGATGTGGAGACTCTAGAAAGAGTGCAGAGAAGAGCAACAAAGATGATTACGGAACTGGAGGATAAAACATATAAAGAACGGTTGCTGGAATTGGGTATGTCTAGTTAATGAAAAGAAAAACTAGGAGTGAGGTGATAGCAGTGTTCCGATATCTCAGGGGTTGCCCGAAAGAAGAGGAAGTCAAGCTGTTAGGAATAAGACTATTACTTAACTTGTTGGGTTGAGGTGAGCATGCAACTGGTTGCAAGTGGGTTTACAAACTGAAAACTGGTGTGGATGGGACTGTTACCCATAAGGCAAGATTAGTTGCTCAAGGATTTGCTCAGTCAGTTAAGGACTATGATGAAGCGTTTGCACCGAGTCTGAGGGCAACCACGTTGCAAGCAGCATTAGTATGGGCAACTAAGAATAGATACAGGATAAACCATATAGATGTTGAAACTGTATATCTGCATGCACCATTACAACATACGATCTATATGAAGAAGCCACTAGGTTTGAAAACTGATGGGAAGACTGATTGCTGGAGACTGAAGAAAAGTCTTTCTGGCTTAAAGTAGTCAGGTTATGAGTGCAATAAATGCATTGTCAATGAGTTAGTAGCTATGGGTTTTGTAGCTGGCATAGCTGATCCAGGTTTCTTTAAGAGAAAAAAGGATGGTTTAGATTCTCTGTTATTGCTATTCACTGATGATATAGCAATTATTACCAAACCCGAACATGAAGCAACTGAAACTGTTTCTGTGTTACAAAAGAAGTTCAAAATTAGGAATTTGGGAGAAATTTTCTGGGTCTTGACAGAGTGAAAACTAGGAAAGGTTATGAAATTTCACAAGCTAAGAAAGTTAACCAATTGCTGAAACATTACAACATGGAGCTCGGTAAGGCTGCTAAGACACCAGTGAGTCAGGAATTTAAGCAGAGTAATATTCAAAGTCCTGTATTCGATGAGGAAATATATCAACCCTCAATTGGTAGTCTGTCATATCTGAGTAATTGGTCTAGGCCAGATATATCTTACAGTGTAAATCAACTGGCTAGATATAACGCTGAACCTACTGAAAGGCACTGGCAAGCCGCTAAGCAAATACTTAGGTATCTGAAGCAAACGATTCATTATTCGTTATATTTGGAGGCTAGTAGTGACTTAGTTTTAACAGCATACACTGATGCAAGTTTTGCAACTGATTTACCTACTCGTAAGTCAACATCAGGTATAGCGGTAATGTTGGGTAATGCTTTGATAGGATGGAAATCTATTAGGCAAAAGCACATTAGTTTGTCAACTATGGAAACCAAGTTTTCATGTTTATCCTTAATGTGTACTGAACTGGTATGTTATAAACAATTGTTAATGGATATGGAATTAACTGTGAATGATCCGTTTGTCGTTTATTTATTTATTTATTATTTATTTTTATATGCCGCCCTTCTCCGGAGACTCAGGGCGGCTTACAATGCGTTAAGCAATAGCCTTCATACTTTTGTATATTTTATACAAAGTCAGCTTATTGCCCCCACAAACCGGGTCCTCATTTTACCCACTTTAGAAAGGATGGAAGGCTGAGTCGACCTTGAGCCTGGTGAGAATTGAACTCGCAGTAATTGCAGGCAGCTGGATGTTAAATGCTGCCTTAGTAGGAGGCATTAGCCTCCTACGCCACTCAGGCATTAGCCTCCTACGCCACTCAGTTTATGAGGACAATCAATCTGCAATAAATATGGCTACTAATATAGCTGTAAGAACACGGTCTAAGTATACTGATTTGCAATACTTAAATGTTAGACAATGTATACAAAGGAAATTGATTCAGTTGAAGTACTGTATGACTGAACACAATATTGCAGATCATTTCACAAAGGCTCAGGGTGCAATTAAGGACAAAGCGTGTTCTGAGTACTATGAGTAAGGTGTTGTATATTGACCTACCAAAAGGGGAGGATGTTAGGAATAAGACCTAACTTGTTGGGTTGGCAATATATAAACCATCAATGTATGTTTGCCGTGTATTGCAATTGTATTGTATAGTTTTAAGACTGCTGTATTGCATCATACTGTGTCCTCATTGGTTAGCTGTGTTGCCAATGTCCTTAAGAGGGAGCTAGAAACATGGCTTGTTCTCTTTGTTGTTCTTGCTCTCTGATATCTCTATCTGACTTACTGTATTTATTTATTTATTTATTGGTTCAATTTATATGCCGCCCTTCTCCGGAGACTCAGAGCGGCTTACAATGCGTTAAGCAATAGCCTTCATACTTTTGTATATACCTGCTTAGTAGGGCTTTCGGCCCCCGCTAAGCAGTGTTCTTTTTTATACAAAGTCAGCTTACTGCCCCCACAATCCGGGTCCTCATTTCACCTACCTCAAAAGGATGGAAGGCTGAGTCAACCTTGAGCCTGGTGAGATTTAAACTTGCAGTAATTGCAGGCAGCTGGTGCTACTTAACAGCACTTTAGTCTGCTGCGCCACCAAGGCTCTTGCAATTGTATTACTGTTTGCATCTCCAGAAGAACTGTTTACTGTGTATGATTACTACGACTGGTATGGAGACTTTGTTTATTGGACTGTGCTTTATTTTTCCTGAATGTAAACTGTAAAACAACTCAGTGTATCTGTGTGGTGACTGTGCTTATTCATAACTACTCTCAACCGCTTTCATGTCCACACCCTTGCTACTCAAGGGTTATTCCTTAACACAAGCTATTCTCCAAAGCACCCGAGGGCAGGACAAGAAGCAACGGGTGGAGACTAATCAAGGAGAGAAGCAACCTGGAACTAAGGAGAAATTTCCTGACAGTTAGAACAATTAACCAGTGAAAAAACTTGCCTCCAGAAGTTGTGAATGCTCCAACACTGGAAGTTTTTAAGAAGATGTTGGATAACCATTTGTCTGAAGTGCTGTAGGGTTTCCTGCCTAAGCAGGGGGTTGGACTAGAAGACCTCCAAGATCCCTTCCAACTCTGTTTATTCTATTCTATTCTATTCTATTCTATTCTATTCTATTCTATTCTATTCTTAAGCACTTCCCATTTTAACAGAATTCAGAAGACCCAGGAGAAGAAAACATTGTAATCTGAAGCAAGGAGCACCAAAATTATCCTTTGTTCCTTTTTTAGGCTTTCTCACAACCCAACCAGCTTTTTAATCACTGTTTTCCTACCAAATCAGGCTTGGGGGAAAAAAAATCTGAATGACCCCAAGACGCCGGCTAATAGCTAAACCCTTCCCTTCCTCCCTAATCAACTGTGGAATTCTGCAACCCAGATCTACAGACAAGGCTGCAGAAAAAATGGGTCAAGGCAGTGAGAAATTGAAATAAATATAGCCTTCTTTAAAAGGACGGCTGTTTCGATTTCTGAGATGCCTCAGATCAAAATTGCTGAGCAGGATGTTCTTATCTTGGAGACGCCCAACCGAGCCGTCCTCCTCCCTTTGTCCCGTAAGCAGCTCCTTATCTTGAATTCAGGGAGTACAAGGTCAGTGAAATGGTGAGAAAGGGCTTGGAAGGAGAAAAGGTTGCCAAACAAAAATTACTTTTGCTAAGCCTGCGTAGCAAATCCTTAGAAGGGGATGTTTGGAAGGAGAATTCTCAAGGCACAGCCCCGATAGAGGGGGGGGGGAAAAAAAACAGCAAGAATTTGAAACAGGAAAGAGCTTCCTCCAGCAAGCCATACCTGTTTTTTTCCTCCCCAGATAATAACCCAGAACCTGTTGGACAGAAAGTCAAATGTTTTTTACACCTTACCTGTCTTTAACAATTGCATTGATGAGTGGGTTCACTTGCTTGATCCGCTCAATGTAGGTTTCAAGGAGATCGATGCACTTCAACTGCCAGGGATGAAAACAAATTTTAACTACATAAATTATTTCCTGGCTGGGTTTTACAGCAAGCGTCTGTCATTAGCACCAGGATGCTAATTTTCGATCTCTAAAGACGACACTTTCGGGTTTTCCCAATCTACATCTAGAAGCCTGGAAGAAGATGGAATACAGAGTTAGGAAGGCTGTAGACCTGGTTGAAGGACACTTCATAGCTTATATTCAGCCGTAAAAGGGTTGCCAGGTATATGATAATGCTCTGGCAATCCATGTTCAACAAAAGCTTAGTTCACCTCCAGTTTGGACTGATGCAATTTGTTCTCCAAGGAGCTTCCTTTGAAGACCTCAAGGAAACTGCAGTGGGTCAGCCTGCAGCTGTTCACACAGCTACGGGAATGTTGATGCCTGTTCATGAAACATTGCTACTTCGACAGCTAAGCTGGCTACCAGTTATTATTATTATTATTATTATTATTATTATTATTATTATTATTATTTATTGGTTAATCTTTAGTGAGATTCACAGCCTTTGAGGCTGGTTAATAGCTCAGCAGCTCGAGTCCTAACCAAGGACCTAGGGACTGTTAAGGTATCGTCGGAGGATGTAAGCTGTTCCGAGTAAGGTGGTTTTTTGTAGAGTCAAAATGTTCAAGTCTGGCAAATTTAGAATTTCTAAATAGCAGGGTAGCCCTTTGGGTATTGCTCCGAGGGCTCCAATTACAATCGGGACAACACACGATTTCTTTTTCCACAGTCGCTCAACTTCAATTTGTAAGTCCCGGTACTTTGTGATTTTTTCTTGCTGCTTATCTTCAATTCGTGCATCACCAGGTATTGCAATGTCAATGAACCATACTTTTTTCTTTTCAACTATTGTTATGTCAGGTGTGTTGTGGATCAAGTGCCTGTCAGTCTGAATCCTAAAGTCCCACAAGATCTTGAGTTTCTCATTCTCTAAAACTTTCTCAACCTGATGTTCCCAGTGGTTATTATTATTATTATTATTATTATTATTATTATTATTATTAATTTATTTATTTATTTATTTATTTAATTTGTATACCGCCCTTCTCCAACAGGACTCAGGGCGGTGAACAGCCATGGTAAAACTACAACATATAAAATTTAAAAACAATTTAAAAAACATTAAATACTTTTGGCCGTCAATTTAAAATAACCCAATTAAAACCAATTTGTTGGCTTTTGGTTAGCATTTGGTTAGCATTGTCCCTTTCAAAGGTCTTCATGGCTTTATAGACTTAAAACCAGAAATATTTTTGTCAGGTATAATACCAGAAAGTTATGACAAAGGGACTATATATTTAAGAAAAATTCCTTGTGTGTCCATTCACACTTGGCCAATAAAAAATTCTATTCTATTCTATTCTATTCTATTCTATTCTATTCTATTCTATTCTATTCTATTCTATTCCATTCATTATTCCATTCCATTCCATTCCTATGCTATTGCTATGCTATGCCATGCCATGCCATGCCATTCTAATGTTACATGTATTGACAGCAGCGAGAATTGTTATTTGCACAATATTGGAAAAATGAGAACACCTCCACCAGATGAAAATAGAATCCGGAAAACATTGGATTGTGCAGAGATGGATAGATTGGCATTGAAAATAAAAAGATAAAGGAGACACAGAATACTATTTAACGTGGAATAGGTTTTATCAATAGTTAAAGAGGTAGAAATTAGAACAAAAGAGCATTGTTATGTTTAAATAAAATACGAATGTTATTTATAATTATATATAATTTATAATTATAGATACTTATCTATAATTATAAGTACGCTAATATAATTAACAGGAACATAAACAAGCGAATATAATTATAAATATGGTTAGAATGATGCTGTTGTATTATTATCATTACTATCAGTATGCAGTAGTGGCCAAAATTGTGGAAACCTTTTGGGAAAAGTGTATTTGATGGCTAATAACACCAATTTTGGGGGGGGGGGTGTTTCAAGTTAATCACATGCGCATGCAGGCAGGGAAACATGGGGGCGCGTATGCATGCGTAGGGGGGGAAGGGCATGAGGAAAAAAAGGTTACCCATCATTGGTCTACTCCAAGGTGAATCTGCCCATCCAATAAGATAAGGAAGAAAGAGTTTGCTGAGGGGGTCCTTTCCTTCAGAGAATGCCACCTACAGGGACCAGGAGACAGGCTTTCTCAGTGAGGGCCTCCTTCTGTGGTAGAACCTACCTTACCGTCCTCCCTATTTTCCTCACAACAACAACCCTGTAAGGTGGGCAGAGCTGAGAGATTGACTAGCCTAGGATTAGGGATGGCATTCTCCTGCTCCTTGGAGCGAGATAGGAAGCTGCTGGAAAGATTGGTAAATAAATCAGTGCAATACAGCTCGTCCCTGACTTACGACCACAATGGATCTCAAACTTCCTGTTGTTAAGTGAGGCATTTAAGGGAGCTTTGTCCCATTTTATGACCTTTCATGCCACCGTTGATAAGCGAATCGCGGACGCTTTTGAATTAGCAACACGGTTGTTAAAGTGAATCGGGTTCCCCTATTGACTCGGCTGGTCAGGAGGCCGCAAAAGGGGATCACGTGAGCTTGGCATACAGCAACCGTCGTAAGTATGAACCCGTTGCCAAGCATCTGAATTCTGATCACATGATCATAGGGATGCTGCAAAGGCTGTAACCATGGAAAACAGTCCTAAGTCACATTTTTCAGTGCCGTCGTAACTTCGAACGGTCCCTAAATGAACTGTTGTAAGTCAAGGACTACCTGTATTGATGTAGGGGCAAAGGTTTGGACCTTCCAGCATGTTTAAAGAGGAGAAAAGGCCATAACTCCATTTAAAATCCAGTTTCATTCTTTTTCATGCAAATTTATTTGAGGTAGCATCAGGGGTGAGATGCTCCCGGTTCGGACCGGATCGCCTGATCCCGGTAGCGATGGAGGCGGGTAGTTCGGAGAACTGGTAGCAAAAATCCCTGCCCCACCTGCATTGCCCAGCTGAGCCGCGCAATCATCAGAGCCTTTTTTTTTTTAATTTTTCAAAGCATTTTTTCTACAACCTCTTTTGCCAAAAAAATGCTTTTAAAAGTTAAAAAAAAAAAAGCCTCTGATGATCGTGCTGCTCAGCTGGGATCATCAGAGGCTAAAAAAAAAAAAAAAAAAAGCTTCTGCCGATCAGGCAAGTCAGCTGGGATCGTCAAGAGGCTTTAAAAGCATTTTTTTACAACCTCTTCAGCCAAAGAGGTTATAGAAAAAATGGTTTTAAAAGTAAAAAAAAAAAAAAAGTTGGCCACGCCCAATCAGTCATATTATCCCCCCAAGCCACGCCCACAGAAGGAGAAGTAGTATTTTACATTTCAGCGCCGGGTAGCGTGAACGTTGCACACGTCTCCCTGAAAATCAGGCCAGTCTTAGCCAAATTGTTGTTTATAGTTTTCCAGGCTTCCATAAACAAATAATAACCTGTTTGATGAAAAAAAAACAAACACGGAACTGGATATGCAGGGATGGGAGGCGACAGGAAACGCACCCATGAAAACAACTTAGGAATCCTGACTCAGTCATTTCAGAAGATTTCCGTCTGGGGTTTACAAACCTACGCGTGTAAATTAGGTAGCTCAAAGCCTTTGTTCTTGGTTTATGGTGGAATAAGGTGAGCTAAACCTGAGAGGGTTCATTGTCGACACTTCGTCTGAATTTTGGCTTCTTTCAAAAAGCACGAAGCAGAATCCTGGTCCCGACAAAACCCCTTTTATTAAACAAACAGTGAATTCCTCTCACTCACATCCAGCAAAGTCTTTCAAGGGAGAATTTACAGTCACAGACCTTCTCTGGCTTGGAGAGCGGCCAGGCCGATCTTCAAAACTTGGCAAGGAGTCTCCAGAGAGTCACGAACCGATTAAGCGAACTAATTGTCTCCTGCAAACTCTACTCTCCTTTCGCTCCTCTTTTATTCCTTCTGGGAGGGGCCATTCACTGTCCACCTGTGGCCTTACTCCCAAGTCGACCCTTGTTCTTTAGCTGTTCCCTTTGTCTGGCAACTCTGCACAGGCGCACACTGGGAACAGGCTCCAGCTGTTTGTCTGCCTCACTGATGTCTGACTCCGAAGGCAGCTGATAACTGGCATACGGCCCTGGCCCCATCTCTGCCTCTGACACAGAGCCCTCCCCAGACTCCAGGACTGGCCCATGTTCCTCCACAACCTCCTCACTGTCCGAATCCACTGCCAAATCCGCTGGCGGGCCACAACAGGCTGTTCTCGACTTACAATAGTTTGTTCAGTGACCGTTCCAAGTTACAACGGCTCAGGAAAAAAGTGACTTATGACTGTTTTTCACACTTATGGCCCCATCCATGATCATGTGATCAAAATTAAGACGCTCGGCAAGCGGTTCATATCTATGACCGTTGCTACGACCGTCCCGAGGTCACGTGATCCCCTTTTGCGATCTCCTGGCAAGCCAAGTCAACGGGGAAGCCGGATTCGCTTAACAACCGTGTCAGTAACTTGCCAAACGCAGTGATTCACTTAACAACTGCGGCAAGAAAGCTGGCACAATGGGGCAAAGCTCACGTAGCAAATGTCTCACTTAACAAACAGAAATGTTGAGCTCCATTGGGGTCGTATGTCGAGGACTACCTGCATAAGGTAAAATAAAACCTGTGAGGGATAATATTTATTTTAAAGTGTCTGTGTGTGTGAAAAGGGGGTGGAGGAGGAATAGAAGATTTAAATCCCACGTCTTGATCACTAGTTAAGTATTTATAAATTCTGTCTCAACAGTAATGAGTTTTGCCACCAGGACAACTTCTTGCAAACTATAATCTTCCTTATAAACTTGCATGCTAAAACACCTCCTGAATTTTAAGATGCTACTGACACGAATACCTCCTTCCTTACCTTCCTTGTAATGCTTCACGGATTAGAAAAAGAGATCATTTTAAATTCCTTGATCCCCCACGATTCAATTTCCAGAAACCAAGCCTCAGCAGGATTAGAATAGTACTATCTTATTTTTAGAATTCAGGATGCTTTTTTCCCTCCCCAGCTCAGATATTTTCTGTAAAGGAAGCTAAGCTTTTTGAGCTTGGCATTCTTATCAGCGGGGGAGACCTACAATAGGAGCCCTTTGTAAGACATCTGAAATTCCCAACTTCCCCCACACAGAAATGAAAAAAATCAAGTTAGACTAGGACAATGTTATTCGTAGTTGCAATTTCACCACTGCCCTCTGACAGTAATGCAAAATCAGATTTTTTTTTCCAGCCCAAGGCTGGAAACTAAAGTTTTAGAGGGAAAGGTTTGTGGGGTTAAAGAATTAACTCAGGAGTGAAATGCTACCAGTTCGGGCTAACCGGTAGTAAAAAATGCTACCAGTTCGCCCAAACCAGTAGTAAAAAAAGTAAAAAAAAAAAAGTTCTGAAGATCAGCTGAGTGACATGATTGTCGGAACTTTTTTTTTTTTTTTTACTTTTTAAAGCATTTTTAACTACTGATCCCGGACAACCGGTAGTAAAAATATGCTTAAAAAGTAAAAAAACCACCCAGTTCTGACGACTACATGTCGCTCAGCTGATCTTCGGAATTGTTTTTTTTTTTACTTTTTAAAAGCATTTTTTTTTTTTTTGAAATTTCAGATGTCTTATATGGACTTTTTGCTAAAACGGGGAAGGGGATTAATTGAAGTTTTATGTATTGGAAGGCTAAGAAAGACAAGGACTAAAGAAAATAAAGGGCAAAGAGACTTCTAAAACATGTCAGAGGGAGAAGGGAGAATAAGAATGTTCTGTTGAAAAGAAGGTCAGAAGTCATAAATATATTCCTTGGGTTTTTTTTTTCCTGTTTTCCTGTTTTGTTTTTTTTGTTTTTTTTTAATTTTAGTTTGTTAGAGTATTGTAAGACAGAGATGAATCAAAAGTTGGAATTAAGATTGCCGGGAGAAATATCAACCACCTCAAATATGCAGAGGATACCACGCTAATGGCAGAAAGTAGAGAGGAACTGAAGAGTCTCTTGAAGGAGAGTGCAAAAGTTGGCTTGAAACTCAACATTAAGAAGACTAAGATGATGGCATCCGGCCCTCTCAATTCCTGGCAAATAGATGGGGAAGAAATGGAGGTAGAGACAGATTTTATTTTCCTGGGCTCCAAGATCACCGCAGATGGGGACTGCAGCCAAGAAATGAAAAGACGTTGCTCCTGGGGTGGAAAGCGATGGCAAATCTAGACAGCATATTAAAAAGCAGAGACATCACCTGCCAACATAAGTGCATATAGTCAAGGCGATGGTTTTCCCAGTTGCAATGTATGGCTGTGAAAGTTGGACCATAAGGAAGGCTGAGCGCCAAAGAATTGAGGCCTTTGAACTCTGGTGCTGGAGAAGACTCCTGCGAGTCCCTTGGACTGCAAGGAGATCAAACCGGTCAATCCTAGGGAGATCAACCCTGACTGCTCTTCAGAAGGTCAGATCCTGAAGATGAAACTCAAATACTTTGGCCACCTAGTGAGAAGGAATGACTCCCTGGAGAAGAGCCTAATGCTGGGAAAGATTGAGGGCAAAAGAAGAAGGGGACGGCAGAGAACGAGGTGGCTGGATGGAGTCACTGAAGCAGTCGGCGTGAGCTTAAATGGACTCCAGAGGACGGTAGAGGACAGGAAGGCCTGGAGGAACGTTGTCCATGGCGTCACGATGGGTCGGACACGACTTCGCAACTAACAACAACAAGACAGAGATAAAGGAGAATATTTGTAGCTCAGGGCTGAAATCAGGAGTCCTTGGTGTTCTCTGAGCTTGTTTGTTTTCCTGCAGACGTTTAATCACTCAGCTAATGTCATCTATTTTAGCACTGATAACATTATCTACTTTGGTAACGAAACGTCTGCCAGACAACAACCAAGCTCAGAGAGCACCAAAAACTCCTCAGTACTTCATGTCAATTTTCAATTAATATTTTTAAAAAAGGGAGAACATTTCAGGGGAGAGAATGTTATCACAGATAGGAGGATCGATATATAAAAAAATAAGACTTCCATAAACATGTGACACCATCCTTCTGGATTGTGATAGGATTCAAACTTTATAAAAAGAATCTCAGAGCCCAGATTTGGGCTCTATTGGTGAGGTAGCCAGCATATAAATTTAATAAACAAACAAACAAACAAACATGCAAACTTCAGTGGAAAAAGAAACCAATGCAAATACGCCACCATCTAAACATTTTATGGCAGGATTTCCTGCAATAAACCTTCCAGAACGTAGTAAACCATTCAGATAAAAAACAGTAAGGGCAGCATATAAATAAATAAAATAAGCACACCCTCTTTTCCTCTTTCTAACCGAGATGGGGCATAGGGAAGCAGGAGAGAATGCGACCTCCAAATTCAAATCCATGGAGGATCACTTGGGTGGGGAGGGCTATTCTCTCCGAGCCCCAACCTACCTCCCATGGATCATATAGGAATGGAGGGGGGCTCTTGAAAGACCTTCCAAGGGGATGAATAAAGGCACTATTACTACTACTATTATTATTATTATTAATTATTAATTATTCTCCTTCTTCCCTTCTCCTCCTCCTCTTCTTCTGATTCTTCTTCCTCCTTCTCCTCCTCTTCCTCTTCCTCCTCCTCTCTACCTTTCCCCTTTGATTGGAGTTTTCCCGTTTGCAAAACTCTTAGCAAACCTAAACGAAGTCTTTTTTTTCTTTCTTTCTGCTTTTCTCCTTTCTCCTATCTTTCCCCTTCATGTCGACTTTCCTTTTTGCAAAATCCCAGCAAGCATAAAGACGCCCGTCTTCCTTCCTTCCTCCTTCCTTCCTTCCTTCTTCCTTCTTTCTCTCCCTCCTTCTCTTTCTTCCTTCCTTCCTTTTCTTTCTTTCTTTCCCTCCCTTTCTCTCTCTCTCTTTCTTTTCTTTCCTCCCTTCCTTCCTTTTCTTTCTCTCCCTCTTTTCTTCCTTCCTTTTTTTTCTTTTTCTCTCCCTCCCTCCTTTTCTTTCTCTTTCTTTCTTTCTTTTCTTTCTTCCTTTTCTTTCTTTCTTCCCTCCCTCCTTTTCTTTCTCTTTCTTTCTTTCTTTCCTTTTCTTTCTTTCTTTCTCTCCCTCCTTCTTTCTTCCTTTCTTCCTTCCTTTTCTTTCTTTCTTTCTTTCTCTCCCTCCTTTTCTTTCTTTCTTTCTCTCCCTCCCTCCTTTTCTTTCGTTCTTTCTTTCTTCCTTTTCTCTTTCTTTCTCTCCCTCCCTCCCTCCCTCCTTCTCTTTCTTTCTCTCTCTCTCTCTCTCTTTCTTTCTTTCCTTTCTCTCTCTCTCTCTCCCTCCCTCCTCTTTCTCTCTCTCCCTCTTTCTTCCCTTGTCCTTTCTTCTTCTTTTTTTCCAACTGTCCCTCTCGATGGAGCTTTGCAAAACTCTTTAGCAAACCTAAATTTTAAAAAAAACAATACAAAACCCCAAAACCACGCACGTTCTTTTTCTTTCTTTGAACTTCGTTCCAATTCTTCTTTTTCCTGGTTCTCACACGCGTTCACCCTCCCCGCTTGCAAAACGCTTAGCAAATCAATCAATCAATCAATCAATCAATCAATCAAGAAACCACCCCACCCCCGGTGTCTCCCGCTCCCCTTCCCCGAGACCCTCGAGGAGGGGGAGTGGTGGGTGGGTGGGTGGGGGTCTCCTGCTGCCCCCCTCTTACCTCCCTGCGGCGGATGCGCCTGGCCAGCTCCCCGGCGGAAAGGAGCAGCAGCGGCTGGCCGGGCGGCGGGACGGTGCGCCGGGCAGGGCGAGATCCTGGGGCGCCCTTGGCTTTCCAGCGCAGCAGGCTGGAGACGCGCAGCGCCAGGCTGAGCAACGCCAGGAAGAGGCGCGAGAAGCCGCGCAGCACCTGCACCAGGCAGCGCTCGGCGCGGGTCAAAGCCATAGAGGAGCCTCTGCAAAAACGCTGCGGGAAGGAAAGGAAGCCAAAGCAGCAGCCCGGCGGGCAGGGCAGCAGGAGGGCGGCTGAGAAGAAGGGCGGGGATGAGCCTCCGCGGAAGGCTGGGACCCGGTTAACCCTTTGCAAGGCAGGCGCCGCCCGGGAGATGGAGAAAGAGCCGGGATGGCTGTTCTAAAGCAGCTAAAGTCAAGCGGGGTGGCTGCCCCTTTAAGAGGGGGGGTGGGACTTCAACTCCCAGGATTCAACTGGGAATCATGGGGCATTCTGGGAGTTGAAGTCCCACCCACCCACCCCTCTTAAAGGGGCCACGGTTGGGAAAGTAGAATAAGAGAATACCCCAACGCAAAGGCAGGGATAGATTCCAGCATTAGCATCGAAGTCAAACTCCGGGGATTCTGAGTGGATGCCCCTTTAAGAGGGGTGGGTGGGACTTCAACTCCCAGGATTCAACTGGGAATCATGGGGCATTCTGGGAGTTGAAGTCCCACCCACCCACCCCTCTTAAAGGGCCCACGGTTGGGAAAGTAGAATAAGAGAATACCCCAAGGCAAAGGCAGGGATAGATTCCAGTATTAGCATCGAAGTCAAGCTCCGGGGATTCTGAACAGATGCCCCTTTAAGAGGGGGATGGGTGGGACTTTAAGTCTCAGGATTCAACTGGGAATAATGGGGCATTCTGGGAGTTGAAGTCTGCCCTTCTTAAAGGTGCCACGGTTGGGAAAGTAGGATAAGAGAATAAATACACCAACACAGAGGCACCTTTGAAGAGCACCCAGAGGCTCCAACTGGTCCAGAATGTAGCCGCGCGGGTGATTATGGGCGCAGCTCATTACGCCCATGTAACACCTCTCCTACGTGAGCTGCACTGGCTCCCGGTGGTCTTCCGGGTGCGATTCAAGGTGTTAGTTATCACCTTTAAAGCGCTCCATGGCTTAGGACCTGGGTACCTACGAGACCGTCTTTTGCCACCAATAGCCTCCCACCGACCAGTTCGTTCTCACAGGGAGGGACTACTCAGGGTACCGTCAGTCAAATTATGTCGACTGGCGACTCCCAGGGGGAGGGCCTTCTCTGTGGGGGCTCCAACCCTTTGGAATGAACTGCCCCCGGAGATACGGAATATCCCTGATCTCCGTGCTTTCCGCCGTGCCCTCAAGACCCTGATGTTCCAACAGGCGGAGCTAAACATATGAACGTGTGAATGTTTTTAAAATGTTATCTAATTTTAGGTTCTATTTAATTGGGTCAAACGATGTTATAATAATAATTTTAATTAGCAATTTTATGATGTTTGTGTATCTATATTTTTCTTGACTGTACACCGCCTTGAGTCCTACGGGAGAAAGGCGGTATAGAAATATAATAAATAAATAAATAAATAAAAATAGATTCCAGCATCCTTCCGGCATCTCACATCGAGTGTGGATTCTGAGCTGCGGCATCTTGAAGACGGGTGGGTCTCAACTCCCAGGATTCAACTGATGGAGGGTTGGCTGGGACATTCTGGGAGTTGAAGTCTTCCCTTCTTAAAGGCCACGGTTGAGAAAGCAGAATAACAGAGTTGAAAAGGACTTTGGAGTTCTAGTTTCTAGTTCAACACTTTGCTCAAGGAGGAAGCCCTACAGCATTTCAGACAAATGGTCGCCCAATCTCTTCTTAAAAACCTCCAGTGTGGGCGCATCCACAATTTCTGGAAGCAAGTTGTTCCACTGGTTAATTGTTCTCACTGTCAGGAAGTTTCTCCTTAATTCCAGGTTGCTTCTCTCTTTGATTAGTTTCCACCCATTACTTCTTGTTCTGCCCTCAGGTGCCAAATTTGGAGAATAATTTGACCTCCTCTTCTTTGTGGGCAGCCTTAAGAAATTGGAACACTGATGTCATATCATGTCATGTCCTTTTCATTAAACTAGATATTAAATGGTGGTTTAAGTAGTTTTTTTTTTTTTTTAATTTGATTTATATGCCACCCTTCTCCGGAGACTCAGGGCGGCTTACAATGCGTTAAGCAATAGCCTTCATCCTTTTGTATATTTTATACAAAGTCAGCTTATTGCCCCCACAAACTGGGTCCTCAATTTACCTACCTTAGAAAGGATGGAAGGCTGAGTCAACCTTGAGCCTTGGCGAGATTCGAACCCTGCAGTAATTGCAGGCAGCTGTTCTTAATAACAGGGTGCTTTAGACCACTGTACTACCAAGGCTCTCTTAGTTTGCCATTGCCTCTTTCCCAGGGCTGAAAGAAAGAGACTGGCCCAAGGTCAGCCAGCTGGCTTTGGGCTAATGGCTCTGGGCATCTGGGAAAGGGAGCTGCAGCTCATGGAAATGTAAGCCTTTTAAATAAAACAGGTCATCTGGAAAGCTGGTTTGGCGGGATGGTTAAAGCACCAGGTTTCATCAGTGTTTTAGATGTGCTTTATTACAAAGCCAGCTGAGTGGCCTTTGGCCAGTTCCTGTCTCTCGGCCCTGAGAAGGAAACAATGGCAAACCACTTCTGAAATCTTAACCAGGCAGTTACCAAGAAATTAAAACTGGTTCAAAGGTACAAACCAGCGGTGAAATCCTCTGAAGCCTGCTACTGGTTCTGTGAGTGCTACCGAGTGTGCGCATTGTGTGTGCATGCACACCTGAGGCGCGCCCGTGCAGTGCTAAAAAAGGAACATTTTGAAGCCTTCCGAGTCTGCAAAGCAGTGGTGTGTTGCTCCTGGTTCGCACCGGTTTGCAAGAACTGGTAGTAAAAATTTGTAGTAGTTTGGAGAACCGGTAATAACATTGGCTGGCCATGCCCCCGAACCGGTCCCCGGCCCGGTCGCCGTTCGCTTACCCTGCCCACCTCATCAGAGGCTTTTTTTTTTTTTAACTTTTAAAAGCATTTTTTCTACAACCTCTTTGGCCGAAAAAATGCTTTTAAAAGTTTTTTTTAAAAAGCCTCTGATGATCGTGCGGCTCAGCTGGGATCGTTAGAGGCTTTTCAAAGCATTTTTTCTACAACCTCTTCAGCCGAAGTGGTTGTAGGAAAAAAAAATGCCTTTAAATGCCTCTGGCAATCCCAGCTGAGTTGCCTGATCGTCAGAGGCTTTTAAAAGCATTTTTTTCTCTGCAACCTCTTAAGGTTGTAGAAAAATTGCTTTTAAAAGTAAAAAAAAAAAAAAGTTGGCCACGCCCACCCAGTCACATTACCGCCACCACCAAACCATGCCCACAAAATAAGCCACGCCCACAGAACCGGTAATAAAAAATTTTTAGAACCCACTCCTGCTGCAAAGGTAAGTAGAACAGCGAAGGGGGGGGGAAATCCGCTGTGCCATGCAATTTAGATTAGACAGAAAGTAGGAAATCCGACGATTCTAGCTAATATAAATTGTGCGTCACAGCTGATCGTCTGGAAATAGGTTTGCCGGAACCGGTACCATTTTTTTACAACCGGTTCAGGAGAACCGGTCCGAACCGGTAGCATTTCACACCTGGTACAATTGTCAGCATTCCGGAAACAACCCCTCTCCAATTCAAAACTCTGAAGCAAGCATTTATCAAGGTTCTTTTTAATTGAGGAGGTATACTGGCACATCTGGGGAAAACCCGAATCTGAGAGTTCCAGGTTTTCCCTCAGTAAATCAAAACCCCCAAAACCATCCCCTCAATTGTCAGTCCGTCACATGCTCCAATCACCATCCGTCCCATTTCGAGACAGCTCTCCAACCACTCCTTCTCCAGATGCAGGATCATCCAGACCTTGACCGACAGGAAGAATGCTATTATGTCTAAAACCGGTCCCTCTACGAAAATCCCCCCTCCCCTACTTTCCCAGACAGGAGAAGGTGGCAGCGTGGAAGTTTCCGGCCCAATATGGCTTCCAAAGCTGACAACAAAAACATAATAAAGTTGGGAACAGTGTTACCTAATTACTGATTTTTTTTGCAACCATAGTCCAGCATGGCTCCTCCCCAACTTTATCTTACATATCCACCCAAATAAGTTAAGAAACGTTGTTGCAAATAGAGGATTTGATTTTTCCAGACAATCATAGCCACACACTGAGAGAAAGTTACAAAATGCAAACATCGAGATGTGCCTCTTTTGACTTTCTGTTTGATGACTGATAAGCTGTCCTGAAAAGCTTTTCTAGGGAGTGAAAAATGCTGGGACAATTGGGCCATAAGGAAGGCTGAGCACCAAAGAATGGAGGCCTTTGAACTCTGGTGCTGGAGGAGACTCCTGTGAGTCCCTTGGACTGCAAGGCGATCAAACCAGTCAGTCCTAGAGGAGATCAACCCTGACTGCTCTTTAGAAGGCCAGATCCTGAAGATGAAACTCAAATACTTTGGCCACCTAATGAGAAGGAAGGACTCCCTGGAGAAGAGCCTAAATGCTGGGAAAGATTGAGGGCAAAAGAAGAAGGGGACGACAGAGAACGAGGTGGCTGGATGGAGTCACTGAAGCAGTCGGCGTGAGCTTAAATGGACTCCAGAGGATGGTAGAAGACAGGAAGGCCTGGAGGAACGTTGTCCATGGGGTTGTGATGGGTCGGACACGACTTTGCAACTAACAACAACAACAACATAAAAAAAGAATAACATGAAGCAAAAAGGAAAAGTGTGAAAGGAAATATAAATAGAATAGAAAAGATTTATAATTCTTTTTAATGGGCTTAGTTTTTATAGTTTTAATACAGCTTTTATGCTGTTTTAACATTTGATTTGGAACCGCCCAGAGTTGGCTATAAGATGGGCAGCTTTATACAATTATTTCAAATAAATAAATTAGCAAGCAAGCACATTCTCATCTTACTTACCGCAGTTACAGACAAACCTGTCCTCCCTTATTAAAGTTACACCATCAGTCTTTGTTTCTGATGTAATGAGTTGCAGCTCATAAAATCATAGGCTTTTCATAAAATTTGGTTGTGCAATTGGACTCCTTCTGGTTTGGGTTGGGTTGGGTTTTTTGCACCATAGACCAAGACAGCTCTTCTATAACATGGAAAAAATGTTGTGTATCAACAATGAGACACAAAGGCTCTTTTGCTCTTAAGTGAAGGTGCATAATAAGGAAGGGAGGGAGGAAGGAAAATTAGAGGAAGGATAAAAGGAAGGAAGGAAGGAAGGAAGGAAGGAGAAGAAGGGAGGGAGGGAGGAAGATGAGA